ATATATATATATATATATACTGTATATATATATATATATATATATATATGTATGTGTAAGACTTATGTTTTATTTTTGGTTTTTTTTGGGGAGTACACAATATGATGTGAGCATGTTTGTTCATATTGCACAGCGTTAACATTATAGTATAGTATATTTTTATCAGACGTTAAAGATATGTTCATAGAATTGCCTGGATGAAACCCTGATTTTAGGCCTCTGTGATTTACTGTCTCACTTCAGCTGACCTTGCACCTGCACTGATACTAAGTTGCTCTTTTGGTTCACATGGCCTTCAACATGTTCTTTTGATAAAAAGACACTGAATAATTACTTTGTGACTCAATTAAAATATGTTTAGACTTCGACTAGTTGGCATTTTTTCCAGGGAGAGAAAGAGAGGATCACTGGTTAAAAACTGTACAAAAATGTAAACTAAGAGTGAGATATTCAGATCTTCTGCAGGAATCTCGGCTTTGTTGTCTCCACCAAAAGTCTAATTTTGGCATCTGGAACTCTACAACTTGAGTGTTTCTAGCTGTATTGTAACGCAACATGCATGCTAATATGTCCAAATCCAAAAACGAATGATTTGCTGCTGGTGAGTAGTCATTTCTCAGTACATAAGCATTCATTTAGACACTTATATCTGAGGCTATTTACAGTGCACTTATTACAGGGACAGTCCCCTGCAGCAGCCCCGGGTTAGTTGCTTTGCTGCATGGCGGACAGCAGTGATAACCTCTTGTGGGAAGCTCGTGTATTTTTCTCAGATTTTCTTGGATTGAGTGATTACAGCTTCTGTTTTCTGCTGTCTGCTTTTTCTTCATTAGCGTTTCAGTAGGATTCTTCTGCTTTCAGGAGGAAGCAGAAGGGTTTTTAGCTGCCGTGGTTTGAGCACAACCACATTAGGGAGGATCACACACATAAACACCCACAAACTGAAATTACCCCTGCAGCAGACGTCTATATGCAACCGATCTGAGAGAACTGAGGGATAATCTTGCCCTTCCGCATGGTTTGGGGCTCTATAATGATGCTCGGTAGTTTCTGGGTGGCTTTCAGCTCCCACCCAGTTTTAATAACAGGTAGGACATCGGACTTGGTATATTTGTTATCAGTTAGTAAAGATCAAGGACTTAACTCATACTACAGCAGCTCTCTGCTACTTAAAGTTGGTTGCCTACTAAATATAAAACAAAACGTATCAGGTAATAATAACATGGTACTGAATATTTTGTTCATTCACATACATACTAATAAAATATGCATTTTACATCCAAGTCACTTACATCCAATTATAAAGATAATGACAAATAAATATGTAAGCACAATATAAATATACGTTACACCTAAGTTACATATATATTGGTCAACCAAATGTGCGAATAAAAAGCTCAGAGCTCTTTAGTCTCCAAAAAAGTTGGAGTTTTTGTGAAAACTTATTTCAAAATCTAAATTTTTTATGAAATAACGTGCGTAAAAACATCTTAAATAAACAACTGGAATATAATATATTATCTAATTAAGCCTGAATAAGTTTGACTTTTTTAGCCTACAGTTTGCCAACATAACACAGGAACAAATAAAACCTTTCTGTAGCCTGCATAATGTTGTTTGTACAACTTTTAGTTCTTCTGTTCACTTTTATTCAACCATACAGACCACCCAAGAACCAGGGTTATTGTAGTTAACTTTAGTTAACTAGTTATTTTTTAACTGAAATGAAATGAAACTTAAACATTTCTTAT